TGCTTAAAAAAATGTAGCCACTCCAGAGACTTAATATAGGACTGCATAGAGTGGCTATTTTCAAACATGCTACTTAATGTTAAAGCTTCAGAACAAAGCATAAAACTTAGTTTTGGTTTTTCACTTACATCTGGATTCCTTATTATATACCCACAATAAGTTTACATTAAAGGAACAAAAGTTTAGAATTAAGTGGCTGATTTCATAATCATATCACTGCTCACATGTAATATAGAAATTCCCCTTAAATCCACTAGGAGGAGCCTAATAGATCTGTTTTACAGTAGTTCATTCTGTGTAAGTGTAGGATAAATGCCTCTTTTGATTACCTCAGACAGCCAAAGCCCTGGATAAGACTATTTCTTATTGTATAGTATTATAGTGTTTCTGAGTGTTACCCAGAAACTTTTTCACCACCAAAGATGGAGTTTTAAGGTCTGCTTTCCAAATACAGAATAAAAGAAGCACCCCTGACAACTTGTCAATGTGTAGACGTAAAGAAAATATTGACACCCTCGTAGTTTTCTCCATGTCAAATATTTGAACACCATAAACCGCAGGCAATAACAAACCCATACACCAGTACAGTTCTTTTTAGCTCTTTTTAGAAATTAAATTCAGATTAACTGTAAACTCTGCTGTGCTTCCAACTGTTAACACTTTCTCAGGAATTCATTTTTCTTAGCGTGACTACATCTCTGCCATGTGAATCCTATTGCGGACTTCTCTACATGCCCTACATTTGGATTCTACCCCAACTTCTTAAAGTTGCTTAATTAATCATACTGTGTGCTCAATTGGTAAGATTATTTGGGAACATTTTACTGTTTGTTGTATCATAGCTAATATGACAGTTGATTCAAGGCAGGGTACCCCATAAAATATTTTCAGGCCTGAATGAGTTAAGGTTAGTCAAATGAAGAGACCACTGAAGTAAATGAATTTTTAAGTGGGGGTGAATGTGAATGGAGGACACTGTAGTCCTCTTGGGACTGAGCTTGATAGCCCTGATTTAGGCTGTGAACTGTGGGTACTGGCATTACTTACTGGTGCCTGCATGCCATATGTGTGCAGACAACCGCAACAGGCAGGCACCATATTGTCCCAGAGGGGAGTTCTTCACCTGTCAAATGGCCCGGATGAGGTGTGTGTCATAACTGGTCCTGTTTAATATCTATGATGTAACACAGAAAATACAAAAAACAAACCCTGGAGCTGCAGTGTCCTCTTGGCCTAGCAGTAGCTTGTAAGTCATTAGTTCTTCATCCTATGGAGGCCCATAAATATACTTCAAGGCATTTAGTAGCTGTGACTCATCGCTTTGACGCTTTGGAGGACTCAGGCTAGGGGGAAGCTTGTGGGATTTCGCTCTTCCAAACTGCTGCCTCCCCTCCTTCTGCTCCTCCTGCTCCTCCTTCTCCCTCAGCTGGGGATAACGGCCATCATCCCCTGCATTTGGGTTCCGGCTATTCTGTGGATTTTGTTTTCCACAAGCAGATTGATTTTTTGAGGGGGCAATCTAACCTTAGCTGCAGAGCTGATTGTTTTGGAAGTGGTCAGAGCTCAAACAGGAAGGCTGTGGAAAAAATGTATAGTCCCCTGGTATGACCACACCTAGAATATTGCAGTCGGGTCAGGTGTTACGGTGCCTGGGTTTAGGAAGAGTTTGCTAATGTGTTTACAAAAATGGGAGGCATGATCAAAGAGGATTTTTAATTTAATTTAACCTTAATCAAGTACAGCTGGTGGATGCCTGACTACCACAGTGCAGCTATGATTGTGTTGCAGTCTTCTTCCACACGTTTGACTCTGTTCAGGCTTTCAACCCAGTTTTCCAAGAGAAAATAAACTAGAAAAATGACTTTGAAAAGATACCGCACAGTTCAGTTGTGTAGAGATATTTGGTTGCAGTGATTTTTAAAGTTGGAACTGTAGAGAGTACAAATATTAGTGCTCTGTTCTGTATAGGTTGTGGCTGTTCTTTGAGGTGCATCTCAAATTGATTAATGATTTGGAGTTTATGAGCTTCTTCCTGGAGTGCAAAATTCAAAATGGATTCTTTTGAAGCAAATAAATAGCAGTCAGTTTTTCAGGATCAGAGGAGAGAATAAGGGAAAGTGGAAGGAATTCCTTTCCATCTGGAAACAGTAGTGAATATTCTAAACTGAATCAGATGCCCTAAGAATTATTAAAATCAGTGACAGGTTTTTTTAAAGTAGCCTTGGGTTAGATTGAGTTGATTTTAAAGGATATCAAAAAACAAATGTCATTGTTGCACAGAAGGGTTTGTTTGTGGATAAAGAAAAATATTTAAAACATTCTATTCAGTGGATTTTAAAAGACCCTTATGTTCTAGATTTCTTAGCCCTTAATGCTTTTGTGACCATTGTATTTTTGGAGTAATATTGAATGAAAATGCAGGAGTTTTAATTATTTACTTCTTCAGTGTGTTAGACACATTGAAAATGTGAAAGACTTCTCATTCCTTTCAGAATTGTTGCTTTAGTATGTCATATGTGGTGCTTTCTGTAAAAGCAAAATTGCAGAAAGAAACACCTGTAGCTGGTTCCAAATTTCAATTTCAGCATTTCATAGATTTTAAAAAAGCCAGTTTTAGCTTTCAAAAATGGGAGATAAATTTCAACACAATTTTAGAACTATTCAGTGTAGCTCAACTTTAATTTTGTTTCAAATGTATTTTGCAAAGAGGGGACATTCCTAAAGTGAACACCCTAACATAAACGCGTCTTAAGAGACTACTCAATATTGTAAACGCATTCAATGAGATCTGCTCTGACAGGCCTCACACCCTCACTTTAAATGAACATCAACATTCTGTCATGTCCCAGAGTTTCTATATAACGGGTCTGTTCACAAGACAGGTACCTGTGGGTATATTAGACGCCAAATGCAAGCATGAGCCCAGACCATCAAAATATTGGACCTGTCTCTTCTTAATTAAAAACAAATGTCAGGATCATAAAGAATCTCCCCATCTCACATCTTGGCTAATATGGGAGGGCTGTGGTCAGAGTTATTTTTCCTTCGAGGTAGGGGATTGCTATACGTCACAGGAATGTGAGATTGATGGATTAGGTATTTGAAAGAAACGTACGAAAATGATGTGTGTGAAGGATCTATTGCATGCTAAAAGGGTTGTGCGGTCAGAATGAAAGCCCTTGAGAATTGGGTAGCAGGTTTTTTCAAGCTATTTTACACTTGGGGAAGTCTTCAGTTTTCAGAACGTCAACCTGCAGTATATAAGCAGTGCTCAATTTTTAACTTTTGCCATTAGAATTCTCTGTTTTTTGCAAAAGTATTAGTGACTTCTACAGATGAGAGAGGAAGTTGGTTTTGTTGATGTGTATTTACATGGCAGCATACTATGATTTAGTATTTTTCTTTTATCTTGTATGTTTTCTTAATTCATTTTCCTTCTGGAGTTGAAACATCCATGCAGCTTTTCAGATGTCTGTTTTCATTTCAGTAATGCTCTGGCACACAGGGCTCTAGCACAAAAACAAACAGAGCTGGATTGTCCTGTTGTGCAAACTATTGATAAATCCCTGACCTTTCCTTCCGGTGACTTCTTGTCATGTTGTATTTCTGTTTATCAAGTTTAAATTTCCTTTATCGCATACATTACGTTTTTTTTTTTGCTTTTTGGAGATTTTTTTCTTTTTTCTCATAAAATTGTGCCCGTGTGAATATTTGTATTATTATGACTTATGCTTTCTTTGCTAAGTAACATTTAAGCTTGATCTTTTAAGGCAGGTTTATGTTCTAGAGTTGCACATTGCTTCTTTGTGATCGATCAAACTGTCTTTATAGTGGCCTGCATAAGTATTACTCTTTCTCTGTATGTTTCTGGTAATGCAACATACTCTTGAGTTCAGTACAAAACTTCTTTGCCGTTTGATAATAAATCTATTTTTGTGAGCTCAGATAGTTTACTATTATAGTATTACTAGACTATATATTGTATAGCTAAGTATTCTTATGAACCCATTCATAAGACTTTGCCCCTAGACTGCCTGAGACGATCTGCTTCTACAGTATACTCCCTTAAAACTGAATCACAGTGACAATCAAACACAAGGAAAGTAAGAAAGTGTGGATGGATTTCCCTCACCCACCTACCCATTGAATCATTTATCTCTTGTCACAGTGTCACTTGTCAAGTTTCATAGTGGGATTCATATAGGAGGTTCAGAGCTTATTGAACGACAAAGATATTCTTCATTGATATTGTGGCAAAAACTTTGGCCAGCCAGGAACTGTCAGGGGTTACAGGAGCCAAGAGCACTCTGGGCAACAAACCCTAATTAGTTGCCCTGGTGGCACTGTAGAAATGTGCTCCACCACCAGGAAAGTGCCAGGGACAGTTTTGGTGACATGCCCAAAAGCTCGAATTCACGATGTCTGGACCCTAAAGCTCATTGTGTGGTCTCTGAGAAAAACACAACAGAACATTTAAAAAGTGTTGATTTTTTAAATGAATCACAGACATTGGTGGTCAAACTTTGGCTTATGTATTCCATTTTTATTCTTCTTTTGCATTTGTGCGTCACATTTCTGGGATAAAATATTTAAATGGAATATCTGAAGCACAAAATAAAAAAAAGATCCTTTCTGTAGCAGTGATATAGGTAAGAATTACTAGATGAATGTTTTCCTAGTAAAACATTTCTGTTGGAAGAAGAAAAATGATTGGATATACCAGTTTTGATCTGAAACGTTAGTGTGATTAATGGGTTTTATTTTGCACTTCCACCTCCATAAAGAAAGGCTAAATTGTATGTAAGAATTTGGAGATACTGATCAGTATTTGGCAAATCCAATCTCTTATGAAGATGGGTTTAACAGTTACTTTATTGCAGAACCACCAAATACTGTAAGTGACATGTAGATTGAGGTGTGTTTGTGTTCGGTGTGCTACAAAGTTTTTTTTCAGAAAACAAATCTTAAAATAGTCACTTAATGCTCTTTTTTCCCTACAGGCTTAACAGAACCACTCAACAAGACGTCTTTGCCCGGGGGTTTGAGGGAGCTGGTGATGGATCCATTGCATAAGCAGGGTACTTGGAGCAAAAAAATGCTGCTACTATTCTATGTGGCCTTGGAACTCATAACTGTCCACTCCTCCACTGTCTTGGGTACATTAGACTTGCAGTTGGATGAAGAACAGCCTGCTGGAACTATTGTAGGTGACATCAGTGCTGGGCTGCCCCCTGGTACCATGGCTACACTGTTCTTCATATCTGATCACGAGGGCACTGGGGTTGGTAGTGATTTGGACATTGACGAAACAACTGGGATCATCAAAACAGCCAAGGTTTTGGACAGGGAGGTGAGAGACCATTACAACTTTATTGCAGTCACCATGCACGGACTGACGGTAGAGGTAACAATAGTAGTAAATGACATCAATGACCACGCACCAGAATTTCCTAAGAAAAGGGTCACGTTCAAGATTCCAGAACACACAGCAGTGGGCACAAGATTTTCTCTTGATCCTGCAGCAGATGCTGATAAAGGTCAGTTCACCACTCAGGGTTATCTGATAAAAGATGGCAACATGGGACAGGCTTTCCGCTTAGAGACTAAGAGGGGCTCCAATGAAGTTTTAAATTTGGATCTAGTAGTCAATGCCATCTTAGACAGAGAGAAAAGGTCTTCGTACACCTTGCACCTGGAAGCTTTTGATGGCGGTTCTCCTAAGAAGACTGGACAGATGATCTTGGATGTTTCTGTCCAAGACATCAATGACCATGCACCTGTCTTCAACCAGAGTCGCTATCATGCCCTCATTTCAGAAAACATGCAGCCTGGCAACACCATATTGCAGGTGTTTGCTACAGATGCAGATGAAGGGGATAATGGACTGGTGCTATATGAGATCAACAGGAGGCAAAGCGACCCTGAGCACTATTTTGTTATAGATCCACGCACAGGCGTAATCACTCTCAATAAACCACTAGACTACGAAATGAGGAAAGTCCATGAGTTGGTGGTACAAGCCCGGGACAATGCAAGCCATCCAGAAGTCACCAATGCTTTTGTCACCATCCACGTCCGTGATTACAATGACAACCAGCCCACAATGACCATCATCTTCCTCAGTGAAGATGGCTCCCCACGCATTTCTGAGGGAGCACAACCAGGCCAGTACGTAGCGCGTATCTCAGTGTCAGACCCAGATTACGGCGAATACCCCAATGTAAATGTGACATTAGAAGGTGGAGATGGTAAATTTGGTCTGACAACAAAGGATAACATCATCTACCTCATATGTGTGGACAAAATCCTAGATCGAGAAGAGAGGGATTCTTATGAGCTGCGGGTATTTGCCACTGACTCTGGGACTCCCCCTCTCAGAGCTGAATCATCGTTCACTATTCAGGTGACTGACGTCAATGACAACCCTCCACTTTTTGACCAGCAGGCTTACAAGCAAACCATTCCAGAAGTGGTGTACCCTGGAAGCTTTGTCCTTCAGGTCACTGCGAGAGACAAAGACCAGGGTCCCAATGGTGAAATCAATTACAGCATTCTTCAAGACCATGGGACCCATTCAGATTGGTTTACTATTGACCCGGTCACCGGAATAATCACCACGGCCATGGAGCTGGATTATGAGACAGATCCCAAGCCGAGGATCACAGTGGTGGCCACTGATGGGGGGCGGCCACCTCTGTCCTCCACCGCTGTGGTTAACGTGGTCTTGCAGGATATTAACGACAATGAGCCTGTTTTTGGAAGCAATTTCTACAATGTCTCCATCAAAGAGAACACAGCTGCTGGAACGTGTTTCCTTCAGGTAGGAATTTCTATCTCCTCTAAAAATCGATTTAAATTAAATACATCACCTTTGCTTTGGTATAGAAATAAATTTGATTTTGTTTTTTACAGTTTGAGTGACACAACAAACACATTGCCAGTCTGCAACACAGGCATTTGTACAGGCAATGAAAATGTCCTTAATAAGAGTCTACTTAATTTTGAGTGCAAAATCTTATTTTTTGTGGGTGTGTGTCACCACAATGCAACGTGTTATGTTTTTCCAGTATCCTGCTGAGGTAGACACTAAGTTTAAAAAAAGCTGTAATACATTAAAATGTGTTAAAATGATATTAGCATTGTGCTCTGAATTAAGATACATTTTTCTGTAAAATCTGTTGGGATTTTCCAATACTAATGAGGAGTTCACCTGCAGTCCTTGTGTTAAGAAGATTTGCTCAGCATTGGCTGTCCTTTACTTCACCTCTGTAGGGAGGTTGCTACGGTAACTAAGACAGTATAAGGAACTGCCTGGGGAGTGAAAATACGGGGCTTTGCACTTCACTCAGATCTTTGGATGTTGCTGTCTGACGGTTGGGATCAACCAGATTCTGAAGCATTCTGTTTTGAATAAGAACCGATTCCAGTCCAGAAAACCACGTTAGTTGGCTCTTATCTGCTTGAAAGAAAAAAATGAGTCCTGTCAGTTTGTCAAACAGATAAGCCTCTGTCTTATATTATTAAGGAATAGTGTATTCAAGACATCAACCATGGATGACAGCAGTTAAACCAAAGGGCCTCATCATTTAGAAACGTCATGTTCTCTCATGTCGTAGTGATGATCACATGTGGATGGAGGGTAGCAGTTACCATAACTCTTCAAAGTATTCAGGTGTTTGAGGTTCACAATAAAGCTTTGAATCATTCAGAAAGGAAAAAGCTAAATAAACACTGGAATTCCTCATTGTTACAGGTTCACTGAATTTGTTCTTCAGATTTTTTTTCTGTTGGTGTTCATAAGCCAGAACGCAGACATGGAGAGCATATCTGACTGAAGGCTTGGCAGACGGTAACTTGGCCCACAAGCTGCTCCACAGAGAGTTGGGGCTTTGACACAGCTCTAACAGCTCTTGGCCTTTGTGTAGGACTGGAAGCTGCTCTTGGTCGCCTGGGAGGTCCCTTGGAGCACCACGGGCAGTCTGTATCATACAAAAATCAAAGAAATTTAATGGAAATTTGTGTGCAGAAGAAGTACCAAAGTTTTAAATGTGCCAAGACACTCGAATGGAATACATGTTAAAGGACAATTAGAAGTAAAGTATTTTTCAGAAATCTAAGCTTTGAAAGTAAGAAGTTATCCACATAAATGGATTGATTTTAATAAAATGAAAGGAGGCTGCAATAAAACTATTTTTGTAGGCACAGCAGTTGATAATTGTCTTTTTCCATTGATGGTAGCTAATCAAAGTGTTCATTCATATACTTATGTAAAAATGCCAGGATGCATTGTAAAGTCCTTTTAAGTAATAATTGTTAACTCATATTGCTTATTAGTGTAAAAACAGCTTTTCATTTAGGCTAACACATTTTTTCAATGTGTTTGAAAAAGTATTTTTCTCACAGATCTTTTTCAGCTCCATTTGGTGTTAGACATGCACTGGCACCAATTGTTAGCACAGGGAACTCAATTCTTTCCAGGCATAGTACAAAATGCCAGCTCTCAACCTCAAACTCTTATTACTCATGTTAGGAATTTTGGTAAATGCTCTTTTTAGAGCTTTGCATCACAAACACATAATCTCTACTGGATTTTCTTATTTTTTTATTCAAATCAGACAACGGGGTATTATAATAATTTATCCTGTTGAAGGATCATAATTATGCAGATGAAAAATGATCTAGGATCATTTCCACAAGGTTTTGGGTTTAACAAGGATAGTCACAGTTTATTTTAGTCAACCATAGTGTTTTTTTATATATACTTCTGTTTTACCTAAGGATACCGCATGGTGCATTGAGATTTAGGACTATTCTATAACTGTTCACCACAGACATGTAGTCCACCCTGCCTGATGACAAGACACTCTGTTGTTAAGATTTCCTGTAACTCTATAATGCTGGCTACAGGAAACTAAGAGAAATAGAAACCAAGCTGGGAATATATAGCTACAGTTGCAATGCCTTCTTAAAGAAACCTAGAACTTAACTTTAAGAGTTTGAGAAAAACATAAACTACTGTAACTGTTTAAATTTAATGAGTTTCATTGTTTTAAACCAGATTTAATGGAATTTTTTGAGCTTTCAAGTTTGTGTGCCTAACTGAGTGCCTTCTTCTAATTAGCTAAATGAGGAAAACGATTGGTGTTCACACTCTGTAAGAAGTATAATTACGATATCGTTCCTAACAAAATAATTAGGGACCCATTTGTTGGATCATGAATAATTACTTACAGACATGGAATTCTTAATGAAGCCATTTAATTTTTTCAACACTATCATTAACCCTTCAAAGTTTCTGGAGTGAACCCATGCACTAAGTGGTTAAAAGGTTTTCCAGGATTTGTTCTCTTGTTCTTGTTCCCAATACTTTTTTTAAGTAAATTTGTGGAATCCTGGCCCTTAGGTAGTATGAGACGTTCACAAACGCAGAAATTGTTCTTTCCAAAGGTTCTGTGAGACAGTTCCGTTTGAGGAAGTAGTGAGCAGTAGAAGAAGAATTGTCTCTCTGTCTAAGAGATTGTTGGTTATTGCCTTGGTACCGGCAGTAAAGCGAGACTGTGTCTCCAAGCTCCGGAATGGGGGAAATGAAAATCAGCAAGTGACTGTGAAAGGGGGCAGAGGGATTTCCTTCTCTGTCCTGAAGTCTGCCTCACACTACATCCTTATCTGATTGAACCTCACACCTTATTAGAAACAACTGAATACAAGCCAAAAGAGTGCACTTCAGTTTCACTGCAGACACGCGTGGGATAAAATGATCTGCCTGTTATCGTCTCCATGGGTTCATGAAAACGTGGCAAACAGTTCTGTCTTCCTTTATCAGGAATGTGAAAATTAAATCCAGCTATTCATATGTATTAACCTTTTTTAACGGTTGCTTTGCAGCCTGATTCATGGACACTGGCAACATATCATTAGGAAGACACTTTGAGGCTTACCTTTATCAATCCCTAAGGTTTAGTGTTTTATACTGCAACAAGTCTTTTATGAAATGTAGACATGAGACAATAACTGTAATTTGTAAGAATTTAGACATTGATTTCTGGTTGGGTTACTCCCAATTGAAATTAGCAATTTGTTTTATCATCTAGACTTTATCTTTTTGATCTTCATACCAGCATAGAGAGGATGAGAGCCATGTACAGTACACTTCTCTCTGAATTGTGTGCTCATCAGACTCAAGTCTGTTAAAACTCTAGGGGAGCTTTGCTCACTGTGCCCCATTATCGGGGGAATACATTTAAAGTCATCTAATAGCATAGTCCCAATTCAGTCCTTTAATACTTGAATTTATAAATTATAAATTTGAAGTGTGCTTCAAATGAGCATCTTTGTTGGACGAAGCACTCTGTGGAGCACTCTGAGGTTTTTTAAACAGACTTCTATAAATTGAGTTTTGGTGCTCAAAGTGTTATGTTAACCGCTGAATGCATTCTCACTTAATTCTTGAGTGCATAAGGCTAATATATTGATCTTTCACATCACAGACAAATAATTTAGGAGGCAAACCCATTAGAGGATTGCTGTCTCCTGCTGTACGGTTGTTATTTTTAGTCCAGTGGCATGCACAGCTGAACCTTGTCAGGCTTTCATGAAAACCTGGTGGTATTAAATGGTTTTTCCACAAAATTTGATTTGCTGGTTAACTTGATGTCTTTTATGCTACATTACCATTATTTCAGACTAGAAGTTTTTTTTTCACAAGATGCTCAAGTATATCATTTGTCTCTGCACTTAATAGTTTTGCTTTGTGAAATGAATTGCAATGAAACCAGCAGTGGGTGCCTCTCTGCCTGCAAGCACAAATGCATACAACAGTGGGAAATGCAGAATAGCAACAACAAAAATTGACTAAGGACCAGAAAGAGAGAATTAGAAAGGGGTGATTGTTTTCTTAAAACATAAGTATAACAGTTGAGCCTTGCCTTTTTTAGTGTTGGGGGCTAACCACAAACTTCCTGGAGTGACCCTCTCAGACAGGTGCTTTTTTAATGTGTCTGCTTGTCCATAAAATGAGAAAATACTATCGCACTAGTGCTGGCTGTCAGAATAGTCTCATCTGAGGTGTGAGGTAATATTTTTCCTAAATCCGCAAGGAAAGACTAATCATGTTTAATGTAATTGAGGCTGGGTGAACATCTGGATGTGTGGAGGGTGTTTGAGCTGGAGGAAGCTGCCTGGGGCTGTTTCCTGTAACTCAAGAGCAAGTCTGTCAGACTCACTGATACCATCACCTTCTGAGCCACGGTCAGACCTCTACCCTTCTGTGCTTATTATGCTACCAGCTTGAAAACAACAGAATTCTTTATTTAGGGTAAAATAATCAATAATACCCCTTTATTCTTGAAGTAATGACAGTGAACAAAGCTAGTTATGATCTAGAATGTGCTTTGTGGTCATTGTTTCATTATTCTACTGGTTTAATTTGGTTGATGTTAAGTAGCATTTTGGAATTATTACTGGCATCACAAAATATTCAAGCCTCATTGCTAATTTCTAAACATTCAGCTTGGAGAAAAAATCTCTTGTTTCATTTAGACAGGTCACATTAGTTTAACTGTAACACACATTTTGGATTTTGCTTTCTGAACAGCTGTTGCTTTCAGTTTTGAAAAATGTAGGGGTTATATATGCTTATTCAGGACCTGTTCACATTAGAAATGTGTAATTTATAGAAACACCCTTGATAGTTCTTTCATTCAGTTCCCTTAACTCACATTTACTGTTTTACTGTTTTTCCAGTTTCTTTACAGTACTGCATTTTTTATCCTGTTTAGTATTTAAGGCATGCTTTTGTTTAACTTCTAAATTACTTTTATA